ATATATATATATATATATATATATATATATATATATATATATATATATATAACTTTAAAAAGGAATAAATGAGGTAATAAGAGTGGTGACTGGTATTCTTATAGAAAGAGGAAGAGCCATAGCTGGTTAGACTGTCATCCCCATATGCCAAGGTTTAAGGCAAGGTTTAAGGTTTGATAGCCAGTCAGGGCACACACATAATCAACCAATGAATGCATAAGTAAAACAACAAATCTCTTCCTCTCTCTCTCTCTCTCTCTCTCTCTCTCTCTCTCTCTCTCTCTCTCCCTCCTTTCCTCTCTCTCTCCTTTCCTCTTTCTAAAATCAACAAATCAATTTTAAAAAGGGGAAGAGACACCACGGATGCCGCGGCACAGAGAGAAGACCCTGTGAGGATGCAGCGAGAGGACGGCCACCTGCAAGCCAAGTAGAGAGGCCTCAGAAGAAACCACACAACCTGTGGAACTTCACTATGGCAGACTTAGCAAACATACAGATGCTCTTTTTTCCCCATATATTTTTATTGATTTCAGAGAGGAAGGGAGAAGGGAGAGAGAGATAGCAACATCAATGATGAGAATCATTGATTGGCTGCCTCCTGCACGCCCCCTACTGGGGATCGAGCCTGCAACCCGGACATATGTTCTTCTTCTTCTTCTTCTTTTTTTTTTTCAAAAAAAAATTTTTTTTATTGACTTTTTTACAGAGAGGAAGGGAGAGGGATAGAGAGTTAGAAACATTGATCAGCTGCCTCCTGCACACTCCCCACTGGGGATGTGCCCACAACTAAGGTACATGTCCTTGACTGGAATCGAACCTGGAACCCTTCAGTCTGCGGGCTAATGCTCTAGCCACTGAGCCAAACCAGCTAGGGCTGCATACAGATGATGTTATCTTTTATTTCCTACGAGAGGCCCGGTGTACAAAAATTTGTGCACTCAGGGGGTCCCTCAGCCTGGCCTATGCGCTCTCACTGAGCGGGACCCCTCGTGGGATGACCACCTGCTGGCTTAGGCCTGCTCCCTAGGGGATTGGGCCTAAGCTGGCAGTCAGACATCCCTCTGGCAGCCCGGGAGCCCTCAGGGGATGTTCACTTGCCAGCAGGGAGCAGGCCTAAGCTGCAGTTGGACATCCTTAGTGCTGCTGAGGAGGTGGGAGAGGCTCCCACCACCACTGCTGTACTGGTAGCCGTCAGCCTGGCTTGTGGCTGAGCAGAGCTCCCCCTATGGGAGCACACTGACCACCAAGGGGCAGCTCCTGCATTGAGCATCTGCCCCCTGGTGGCCAGTGTGTGTCATAGTGACCAGTCATTCCCAGGCATTCTGCTGTTAGGGTCAATTTGCATATTACCCTTCTATTGTATAGGATTTTCTATGTCTTTGTCTTTTTCTCTACTTTCTGGGAATTTTCTTTGATATTATCATCCAACATTTTCATTGATGCTATCATATTTTTAATTTCCAACAGCTTTTTTGGTTGTTGTTGTTTGCTGAATGTTCCTTTATTCCTTCTGTTGTGTCAGATTTACTACTTCTTTTTTTATCTGAATAGAGTAATAACTAGAGACCCGGTGCATGAAATTCATGCACTGGGGGGGATTCCCTCAACCCAGCCTGCCCCCTCTCCCAGATTGAGAGCCCGTAGGAGATGTCCTACTCTGTGGGGAACAGGCCTAAGCTGCAGTCTGGCCTCCCTCTGTGGAAGGCCAGAGGGACTTTGAAGGGCAATACAGTGATAGAAATATGCAGGATTAAAGATGTATGGGTTGCTTTTTTTACCATTTTAAAATTCAATTAGTTAATTTATTTTTATTAAAGCATAGTTGACATACAATATTATATTAGTTTCAGGTGCACAACATAGTGACTCAACATTTATATACCTTATGACATTGATGGCAAACTTATGACATGCGTGTCAGAGGTGACAAGTGAACTCATTATTTGGTTGATTTTTCTTTGTTAAATGGCATTTAAATACATAAACTAAATATCAAAAATATAAGTCTTTGTTTTACTATGGTTGCAAATATCAAAACATTTCTATATGTGACACGGCATCAGAGTAAAGTTAGGGTTTTTCAAAATGCTGACATGCCGAGATCAAAAGGTTCGTCATCACTGCCTTATGATGTGATCACCACGATAATTCTAGTTACTGCACTGTTATTAAAATATTATTAACTATATTCCCTATGCTATACATAACATCCCCATGACTTATTAATTTTATAACTGCAAGTTTGTATCTGTTGTTTCCCTTCACCTTCTTCACCCAACCTCCACCTCTCATCCACCTCCCCTCTGGCAACCATCAGTTTTTCTCTGTATCTATGAGTCTGTTTCAGTTTGGTTTTGTTAATTTGTTTTATCTTTTCAGATTCCACCTATAAGTAAAATCATGCAGTGTTTGGCTTTCTCTGTTAGACTTATTTCACTTAGCATAATATCCTCTAGGCCTTCCATGTTGTTGCAAATTGGAAGATTTCATTCTGTTTTTATGGCTGAGTAATATGTGCATATGTAATATATCACATTTTCTTTATCCAGTCATCTGTAAATAATGCTGCAATGAACATAGCGGTTACATATCTTTTCGAATGAGTGTTTTTGTTGTCTTCAGATAAACACCCAGAAGTGGAATTGCTGGGTCATATGGTAGTTCTATTTTTGTTTTGTTGAGGACTCTCCATAGTGTTTTTTCATAATGACTACACCAATTTACAATTCCACTAACAGTGTACAAGATGCCTTCTTTCCACATTGTTGTCAACACACCAGACACATATTGGGAGAAACTGGACTATCTGGCATGGGTCGAACTGGAGGGCAGCTTTTTCTCAGAAGTGCTTGCGGCGATTACTGGGACACTGAGATGCAGGCCTCTTAGGGTAGGACTGAGAATCAGCCATAGCTGCTTGCTCCACCCTGTTGATCCCCTGAGACCTCTCCCCACCT